ATAAATTCACGTGTTTCGCATTAAATTCAGGGTGATGGGTGGTCACGATCTTTACTTTTTACTTGCATGTATTGTTATTTTATTAAATAATTTTTCTCATGGGCAAGGATAAATATTGATTATGTCACGCGGTCTATATGCTAGTAGTAATAGACCCCACTATAGCAACGGAAGTAATTAGTATGCAAAATCTATGACGTCACTTTGTTCAGCTAACAATCCGGTGGAATTTATAATGAGCTTGCAAAATCTAGAATGCCAGGTAGCGCGACCTATTAACATGGTTGTCAACGTCGTTGCTATGGTCAATATTTGCGTGTTGTTCAACCTACATACATATATACTGTTAATTTAAGATGACCAAGTCAGATCATAAGAAAGCTGATCAAGAATACTTGAAGGAAAAAACTTTTAGAACAGTTGTAATATATTTTGCCATAAAAAATTAATCAAATATGCGGTCGTTGTATACGTTGCTATGTGTTGCCAGTCATTTAGCGACGCTTGGGTGCATGCATATATTAACGTACAACATATTTGTACACTAATCACGCGGGTGGGTCGCTCGGGCGGAAAGAGCCGGGCTTTGCAGGCAAAAGCTTACGCAAGATTTCAGTTTTAAAATACATTTATTTCTTCAAAACGTCTATTTCTAAGAGTGTAACGTCTAGGTGTTTTTGTTATTTTTAAAGAGTCGTTTGGCTTTATTGTTTATTAGCCAAGGTTTCTTTAACAAAGGTTCGGACCGTTGGCTCGTCTTCGTGCAGATTCACCCACTTCATACGACCCGTAGATTGGTTCACTATTTTGACAGGCCAATAATTTTCTCCGCCGATGTAGACACCCGGATGACTAGGATCAAAACTATTGCTCGATGACTTATACATCTCTGTGATAACATATCCTTCGGGAATGTTACGGACCACCTGTGCTCCCAAAGTGTAGTTTCGCCGCTCGGGAATAGTTGCATCCGACCAGGTAATATACCTATGATGTTTATGTTGTTTTCTTCCAGGCTTGTGACTCGGTGTGGGCTCGACATTAGTATTGTTCTCTTTAGTTAGGGTGGCGAAGAGATAAACATGGCAGTCGTCAAATAGGTCCCCAAGAACTTGCTTATCGGCTGGTGTGTCAGGTTTGTTATCCACGACCAAGTATCCAAACGGTTTTTCGGTCTCTTTGTAATAAGCATTCATAAAGTGGACTCTATTCTTATCAAACATGCGTTCTCCAACGTTACCAATTTGTTTCCTATCACTAGGACTTCGGAAGAGAGCGAGATATTGGGCATTTCGGCTAATATCTGTATTAAATTTTCCCTTGGGAAACATGTTCTGGAGTAAAAGGATAACACTCGCGTTTCTATGACGACCCTGGGTATATAATCGAGATACCACAGGACTGTCTGTCGCTTCAGCCATCAGATCGTCCAGTATGATGATGTTGTTGTACCGCGTATGAATCTCGCTCATGTTCTCGGACAGCTCGGGCAAACCTCTCTCAAACTGGATGCTTTTTCCGAGGGATTTTCTCAAACTGTCGTAACAATCTTGCCACTGGTTGTAGTACCAAAATATACGAATACTTTTTTGCTCATCGTACACGATACGATTGTTTTCCAAAATTTGTTGTACAAAATACGTTTTCCACTTTGGCTCGGACCCACGACCAATAGCGAAAATTTATGGCGGAAGTTGAATTCCGGATAGGGTTTGGTGGTCAAAGATGCTTGTGCTGTTTTTGGTTTCTTAGTTGGCAACGAGTATGCCCTTCGGCTCACACGCTTTTCTCCCGGCTTTTCAGAGTTCATGTACGGAGACTTGTCGATGTAGGGCTGCCATGACGACACCTTGGCTTGCTTAAGATAAGGTTTTCTTTCTTTGAATTGTAAGCCGTGAACTTGTAAAAGAATTAAAAAGATGTGTACTGATATTCTTCAAATCAGGCCTACCGCAAAGCGGATAGGTCCGGCGAAATCGTCTCTGCATGACTGCTCCGGCAAATGATTCAAGTTTGCATAGAAACACGGTTCTAAACAGGTGGGAAATTTGTCGTCGCTGACCAAAAAATTGCGGGCAGAAACAAAGCTCATTGCATTTACATTCAAAACAAAGCAGAAAGTTAGCAAGAAGCTGTTTTAGCTGACGATTTTTTGCTTTCCATTCAACGATTTGCAAATTATTGGTTATTCTTTTAAAAGTCGATCATGAATTCTTTGTTTTGGGATGATTGTTTTGTAATTGAGTGATTGGAAGAAGTTAATATGGCGACGTGAACATGGGAGTAAATACCGTATACGTCGATCTATGGCTTGTTTAAAACCGTAATAAACGAAGAAAGACGTGATTTGAGAAAGAAATGTAAGTTGAAATTAACTTTATATGCCTCAAATTTTCCATCCTATGCTTCATAATGTAACTTCAGCTGTCTAAGTTCAAAATACAAGCTCGCGAAATTTGACAAATTTTGAAAATATGTAAAAATAGCTTGACTTTGAACTGTAGTTTCTCAAAAATAGCCCGTGGCCTCAATTTCAAATATAGCTAAATGAAAAGAAAAAACTTTTCGGCGTTTGTACGTATCAAACATATCGTCAGGAAAATAGGGGCTCACAATGTTTTAGTTCAGTCTTTGAGACCCAGTTGCTTCGCACGTGTTGTGGTCAAATTTTTGCCAAGAATCAAAGGCCGAAATGTGAACTTCCTTCATGAAAACCGCTTCGAGAAGGGTGTAGTTTGAAAATTTAGCTATTAATTTCGATTTCATGAGCATATTTTGGTTACACGTTAAGTATTTTTGTGCTTGATGAGATTCAAAATTTGTTGTATATTCAAGCCCGGCTTTTGTGTAATTTTGGTGAAGACCGGAACAGAAATAAAGATATTTTAAAAACTGGCCGTGGCCTCACGATAAAACTTTCTACAAATGTTTTCTGTTTCATGTACTTTTATTTGATATCTTAGATATAAGCGTAAAAATAGGGGCTCATACAGTTTAAGAGGTTGTAAAATGCATGACTTGCCTCTATTTTCTTGTAAACATTCGATATTCTTCGACAGCAAAGTAGCAACTGTTTCAGATCGAATGCACACGGACAGCCCACCAGAGACAATGGCAGGGTACTGAAATAGAACGCCACAAAAAATTCTGCATGATTAATTTAGATCATGTCTAGTCTTTCAACATAAAACAGTAATTTATTTTGTACAAAAATTTGGCAATATTTACACGATTTCGCCTTTTTGTAAACACGCGTTGCGTGTATTCCACGCAATTGCGTGGCTCATTTTACACGCGCATGCTCAGACAAATTTCCCACCTGTTACGGTTCTATGTATTGTTGCTTTCAAGAAGAGCTTCTGTGAAGCTTAATATACTGATATCCTAAGATACTAATATCCTAAGAAAATTATATCCTAAGATACTGATATCCTAAGATATTGATATCCTAGGATACTGATATCCTAAGATACTGATATCCTAAGATACTGATATCCTGAGGTAATGATATCCTAAGAAAATGATATCCTAAGATACTGATACCCTAAGCTTTTAGGAAGAGCTTCTGTAAAGCTTTACAGAAGCTTTACAGAAGCTTCACAGAAGCTTTACAGAAGCTTCACAGAAGCTCTACAGAAGCTTCACAGAAGCTTTATAGAAACTTCACAGAAGCTTCACAGATTATACTAATCTCGCACTCTTTACAACTGACTTTTTGTTGCGCCTCACAAAAATTGGATGCCAAATTAATTTCTAAACAGCAGTATTATAGCGATTTATAGCATTTAAAAAACAAACGAAATTGTATTGCTGACAAATCGCTAAAAATTATTAATTAAACTAATTAAAAATTCAGTACTTCATGTAGTTGGTGTCCTCTTTTTCGGCCATATACCAATGGATTCGACTCACTCTTTTCGTATTTTGAGCCCATTTGGAGATTTTATTTTGAAGGTTTTAAAGCGAAGGTTTATTAAATGTAGTGAAAGATTGTAGCGTATTAAATATATCACTTTATTACACGGAATTTGTAGGGCACCACATTTTAGTTATCTGGCTGATTGCCTTATTACCATTTCGAAGTAATTGCATGCGGATTTTTTATGCAAGTCATCCGCCTGGTTCTACATTCGAATGGGAAAGTAGAGCCAGGAATGTGAAAATAGAAGGTAGGTAGGTAGGTAAAACTTTATTTAAAAGATCACACGCTGGCCCCGTCAACTATACGCTCATTTCCACAAGGGGCGTGTGGATTACATGATATTATTTATATGACAAAATATTGCACACAGTAAACTACAAATAACTACAAAACAATTATGTACAAAACTCATAACATAATTAATATTAGAAATTATAAGCGCCAATTGCATTTATGAATGTTGGTAATGTATCTGAATCACGCATATCTGCAGGTAATGAGTTCTACAATTTAGCTCCATCGTAACAGAATCTTTTCTTAAGGTTTTCAGTTTTTGGTAAAGGTAGAACGGTTTGTCTTATCGTGGAAACATATTAAATATCTATCCGCGACTTTGTGCAATGTGTGACTTGAATTTGTCAGCACAGCTAGTATATAAAAAAATATGAGTGGTCTGTCCGTTTGACAATTTTTTCTAATAGTACAATACAAATAGCCTCGTGTCATCTTTAAGTACTATTTAAAGCACGCGTAAGAGTGTTTTATCACATATAAAACACGACGCGTAGCGGAGTGTTTTATATGTGATAAAACACGACTACACGTGCTTTAAATAGCTTCAAAAACGACTCATCATATACGAGTTCATTGGCGAAGTAATTTTTAAAATAAACTTTGTCTAAACCGAGAAAATCAAAGCTAAAGTTCATGTAAATTAATGTGATTTTTATCACATATAAAACCACGACACGCTTATGATTTTTCTTTGTGTTTTCTCCTGAATTATTAATGAGTTTTTGAAATACAATATACAGAATTTTTATTCTTTTGCATACGTTTTTGCCAGCCATCGTATCAGCTAGAGTTCAGTGTCATTCTCATTCTCATTCGCTTCAGCTTTATCGTTACTATTCACAAGTAAAGCGACTCTTTGGTTTTTATTCATATCATCCATGGTCTCCAAGGTTGGTGTACCCTTGGTCTCTGGTAAGAACAATCCGAGTACAGCTGCTTGAAGACATATTGCTCCCATTATGCTGTATGGCAATGCTGCATGAATGCGAATCTGGAAAGATATTTTAAAACTGCTTAAGAATTCATGATTGAAATATATACTGTAGGTATACTGTAGGTATGTTATTTTGCATTTTGTGTGCCTTGATTTAACGTGAAATTTAATCTAAAACGCTTCGTAAAATCAGTTTGAAATATTCATTCGGGTAAATTGCTTTTACAGATAAGCTGTTTTTGACTTAATAAAACAAAATAAGTTCAAACTATTCAGTAAATTCAATTCGGTGTTGAAATTAATTTCCGTTCTCTTTATAAGAGATAAGAATGGGATTGTCAATCCCTTTACCGTACAAGAGTATTTCATGCAGTGCTATATATAACCTTTCAAAAGCACGGATATATCTGATGACAAAAGATAAGAATTTCAGTGAAGTGCGTGACCAACAATGAGACAAAGGTAGGATGCGTCATTTGGTTCCGGCACATGTAAATCCTTGGCATCAGTTCTGAACAGTGCTTTCAATAAATGAAATCTTCTGGAAGTGCGACTAGTTCGTGCGCACAACTTCACGTGCCACCCACATTTGTTGGTTACGGCTATAGGGAAATTTTTTCTTCGTTGTAGATTTGGAATTTACGAAAAAGGTTTTAGTATATGCATGGGAAGGAAATGTGTGCTAAAACAATAAGTGAATCACGTGCATGATTTTATATAAAATTATTTATAATATAGCATTTGTAAAGTCTGAACGCTGATTGGCTAAGAGCCGTGTTGATATAACTCAATGTCAACACGGGAAATTTTCCGCCGCTTGTAAACACGGAAATTTTTCTTATCCTTCGGGCTTTTGACATTGCTATATTATAAAACAAATATAAAACATTTTTTCCGTATTGATATATAGTTATATCAACACTCGTGGAAGTTGGGAAAACTCGAAATTGTATGAAAACACTCCGCCCTTTGGACGTCGTGTTTCCATACAATTTCTCGTTTTCCCAATTCCACTCGTGTTGATATAACTGTATATCAACACGGAAAATGTTTTATATTTGTTAAATATAAACTAGAAATGCATGCATACAGTAACCCATCGCCAATATTTTCCAAACATTAAATTAATATGAAGTATTTGGAAATGGCCCACTGAACGCAGGCTAGCGCTCAAGTGTTGCCATGACAACACGATATTTTTTAATTTTTAATTTTTTCATATTCTTTGTACAAAACTGCAAAATAGTTGAAAGATTCGTACTTTTAACTATACAACAATAAATTTCCGAAATATATACTGTAGGTAGCCTATATTATTTTGCATTTTGTGAGCTCTGATTTAATGTAAAATTTAACTTGAAACGCTTCGTAAAATGTTTTGAAATGTTCATTCAACTATAGTTCATTTGCCGATAAACTAATTGCTGCCGAAGGCAGCCTCCTATTCTTGACGATGTGTTATAGCGCATTTGAATTCCCCGCCAAATGAAGTATCGCGTTTACTTGTGTCCAGTCTCTTTGCCCGAGCTATGTATTGTCGAGATCTCGATTTTGTGTCTGTCTGTCTGTAAAGATGTCGTAATTCCGGGGAAATAATTAAGGCTTCAGGAAGTTTTTTTAAACGAGGGGGGCGGTCAAACTTTATTTGGGGATCAAGTTCTTCTCAAGGACAGTTACGAGCTTATTTACATTTTCATGATGGACAATATTTTCAATAATTCAGGTAAGGATAGCTTTATTTCTTTTTGGTAATATACATGAAGGCATTTACAGTATATTTAGAACACTGTGATATTTCATGAATTTAGATTCAGCATGAATTTCATAATTTACCCTGTGGCTGCACTGTCACTGATCGTGTTTATAGTTAAATATACAAGTTGTTTATTTACATTTTCATGATGGACAATATTTTCAATAATTCAGGTAAGGATAGCTTTATTTCTTTTTGGTAATATTCATGAAGGCATGCATTTACAGTATATTTAGAACACTGTGATATTTCATGAATTTAGATTCAGCATGAATTTCAGAATTTACCCTGCGGCTGCACTGTCACTGATCGACTTTATTGTTAAATATACAAGTTGAAGTAGTCAAAATCTGTTTTTAGTTTATTTGTTTGTATGGTTATTTCCAAAGGCGATGAGTTTATAGTGTTTATTCTACATGTTTATAGCAATGTGCTTTCAGCACGTTTTAAAAACAAACGTGGAATGTTGTGTAGCAGGGCTTATAATCAGGCTTAATATTTAATATAAAGATATCCCTATAGCAATCCAGTGTGGTATAATAGGAGGGGTGGCCAAACATTTTCTAGTGGGATGCAAGCAGCACCACCAAGCTTAAATGGCAGGTTTTAGGATGAAAGACTTTCACCCAAAGTAGGAGGGCTGACGTGAAATTTTGGTGGGGTTGAACACTTTATAACACCTCGGAGTGTTATACTCGGTACTAACCCCCCAGGCCCAGTAAATCTGCCCATGGTTGTCTGCACATATTAACTTACCAGCAGTTATGTAATAGCATGTCAACCGACTTTTGTACAAGGTATGACGGTTTGTAAAAATATATCTCTGAGATACCGGGGTGTGTCCATTGTTAGCATATTAAATAAGTCACTACATTTCAGGGTATACTATATTTTCTTGATAATGCTCACAATTTCTTTCTTATTAATATACAGTTTTGAAGTTATGACTGAGTGCAATCTTAATTAATCATTGCCATTAATAAATGGTGCCATCTGAAGCTGATGTATTAAATTAAACAAAAATGACAGTTGTTCTGTGATAGGGGTAGTTTTGTATTATAGTATTTCTATACATGAAATTGTTATTAAATTTTACATGTCTAATGATTCATTCAAGTATTATTATTGTTGCTGTACATTTATTATATAAAGTATAGTGTTTATAGAGATTTTGAGCACTGATAAAACTGAGGAAATAGGAAGTTAACCCCACTACCCCCTTCGGATGTCCTAATACATTTACTATTATCAGAAACAATTTTTTCTCCCCTCCCCCTCCGGACGGCAGAAATTTCCTCCATGGAGGGAGTATGGATCTTTTCTGGAACGACCCAATCTCACATGTGAAAATTATCGCTTTTCAATAATCGCTTTTCTGCAAAATATATCGCTTTTCAAAGACTGTACTTTATATAATAAACAGAAAAATAAACATAAATACTTGGAAATACCAGATTTATTTCTCGAAATAAATCTGGTATTTCCGCACACCCATGTGTTATTCTCTGTATAAATATATAATATTGTACAGTATTCAGTGGCAAGCTATTCATGGCAACTCGTCATGCTATGCCCTCTGTGCTAAGCCTATGCTGATAATCTTGCATCTATTTGAATGATACAAATTAATAACTTGCATAACATGACTTGTTGCTATGGCTAGCTTCACCAATGACAGCATTATAAGTATACATAACAAAAGCAAGAAGTTATAAGCATTGAAGGTATTCATATAAAACCACAGGTAGCCAGGCTCTGTGTGGGTATTTATTTATTTTTTAATTTTATTATATTTTGCATTACAAATTTACTTTAATTTTTTAAATTATAAAGTATAACTTACTTAGTTTCCGTTATGTATTCTTTATGTATTTGGGGGTGGTTTTAGTTTTATATAATGATATAAAAACATCATGAGAGTAATGGCAAAGCGGGATCATATAAACAGCCCATTATTCAACCAATTGTGCATGCTGCCTTTGATCCCTTGGGGGTGAGGCAGCACTTTCCTTGCGATAGTAACTTCTAGTAATAAAACATAGTAAGTTACAAATAAAACAAATTGTTAGGTAATTTCAGTTCAGTCTTCAAATCAATTTGTTCTCCTTTACATTTTAAACGGTAATTTATGAAACTTAGAGCTTCGCTGAAAAGGAAAACAATTCATGTTTTTAGGCAAAAAGTTTAAAGCAACAAAATTCGTAAATCAATCCTTCTCATTTTTTCAAACAAATTTGCTTCAAGCTTGTTGTGTTACTTGTGTATGAAACGATTTTCCAAATATATGTCCTTTAAAATTGAAATCTTGCTTACCCACTCCTACAAGCAATCAGCCATATTTTTGAGATCAGTGAGGACGACCATCCACTCAACATAGTTGGTGACCGCCGCCCGCGATCATTGACGAACTTTAGACTTGGCTAATGCTTTCGTTTTCCCGGGTGTAAATAGCCGGGGGGAATTAGTACCCTCGTCCCGGGTTTACGCTCGGAACGACGCTCCACGCCGTTGGCTCGGGGACAATTATGTACATTTTATGTTTGACTTTTTGTGTTCAGTATGTTTGTCCTTGTTTTTTAAAGTGAATGTTATATATCGGATGATTTTGCTGCTTTTGATGACTTCTTAGTCCACAAAACGTCTCTCGATATTGTCAACGAAAGTACCAGTACCAGTATAACAGCCAGCTCATTGGCACATCGGATGAAAGAGCCGTATTTGAACAGAACTTGAAGACGAAGTAGCAGGAGAAAGCTACTGAATACGAATGGGAAAAAAGAGAACCAGAAAGGCGTGAATAACTCCGTTCATCCCGTCAAGCAAGAGGTTTTGCTGAAGTAGCCGAAATAGAAGACCCATGCAAGTCACATGTTAGTTAATATACGGCATATGTCTCTCTTGGTATTGTTACAAGATCATCTAAAAAAGAATACCAATATATGATTCACAACTTAGATAAGTCACGTACGTGCCTAGTTACTATTGTTCTAGTTTACAGCAGCTCAGAATAGAACAAAGGTCTGCTAAGCATTAGAATTATATATAAGAGTTATTCATTCATGTAGATAATCAGTTGAAACTTAGCTATACATTTGTCCTATTCTATATATATATATATATATATATATATATATATATATATATATATATATATATATATATATATATATATATATATATATATATATATATATATATACCGGTTTGGTATACACTCGTCTGAAAACAACTCATAAACCGCTACATAACGTAACACGAGTGGAATCGTCAA